TCACAAGGAGTGCTTCTTCAATAAGAGCCAATGTCTGTCTCTTTCATTATCCCACCTGTCCCCAGCAACTACTATTGAAAAAGCTAAATGAGATCCATTCCCAGTGCCAGGAACAAAGCCCTCTGTGGTTGCATCTCTAGTCTTCCCTTCTGTCGGGGACTTACCCTTGGGTTAGGAATAATACACTGATTGCATATTGATTTTTGGGGAACAAAGCGCACCTCTGTCTCCTGGAGTTGGAAAAGCAAAGCAAAGGCATCTTGGGGATCAAACACACGAAAGACGCAAAATGGGCAGGAGTATCTTGCGTGGGCTGCCTCATCAGATATTCTCCGTCTCTTTTGTTGTGCCTCCATTCCCCTCAGAACAACGTCGAAAAAGTAGCAGAAGGATGGATTTGAAACACTATTTCACGGCAGAATAGAATTTAAGGTAATTTGCATATATATAAGGGAATAATAAAAGCAAAGATAATACCTTTCTTCATTATTACAGGAGTGTGTTTTTTTTTTTTTACAAAAAAATAAGTTGGGACCAAATCCAATCCCATTGTGTGACAATCAAAGGGCCTTATTAACCAGGCAAAGATAGAATCTACTTTTATATCCTTTGCATAATGGGCAAGAAGGACTCTGGCGTGTCTCAAAATGGATTTATGAATGTGGATGAGCCCTTTTTTTCCCTTTCGGAGCATGAATACAGTGGAAAGTGGAAGTGATGAGGAGATATTGGAAAAATAGATATTTATTTATGTATAAATTGTATGTACTTTACAAGCACTGAAATGTATAGAAAAATCAAGTTCTCTCTGTATAAGAAACCCAAGCTGCCCGGACAAGTAAGCTGCTGTCCAGGCTGTTGCAATCCAGAGCAGGGAACGAGGCCCTAAGATAACTATCCACCACACTTGACTGTGAAAAACAATCCTTTTTTATTGAAGAAAAATGGTTACAAAATAAAGGAAAAATGCAAGTCAAAAGCCACAGAAAAATCAGCAAACATGAATTTAAATGGACAAAGCAAAACCCAAAGCCACACTGTAAAATACTGGAACCTGTTAGCAATCCACTAACCGTACTTGATATCCTAGAAATCTTTCAAGACGATGGCCAGGGAAACCGGGAGAACTGCCAAGGTCTTCATCAATCTGAAACGATGCCTGAACTGAGAAAGTCAGCCCGGCGGAAGGCACTTAAAGCCGAGGAATTGGTTTTGTGATACGCCTCCCTGCTTTGAAGCCCTTGTTTGTTTTTCTTTTAATCTGGAAGACCTTCGCAAGCTGAGTGATTCACTCCTGTCTTGCCAGATCTGGCCCCTTCTATTCTCATTAAGGTTCCCAGGTGCAGAAGGGAGTGAAAGGTCATGGCTTCCCTCTGAAACATTCTCATGAACACTGGTACTTTCATTTTCCAAATCTACAGAAGTTCCTTCCTCACTAATTTCAGGAACATTGGCATTTTCCAAACCTACAGCAGTTTCTTCCTCACTAATTTCAGGAGCATTGGCATCAAAAGGTACATTTTCATTAGCATCAGTAAATATATTTTCATTAGCATCAGGAGGAACAAACAGAGAATCAGGTTCAAGTTCAAACTCAGGCTGAACCCAACACAGGCACAGCACAGCAAGAGGGGGGCTGAAGAGGGGGGCATGTTATCTATACATTCCAAGAGAGAGATAAGCCACAGAGGCTGGTACAAAAAGCCCAGTGCCTTCCTTCTAGGGAAGGAGCCAATGCCTCTCAATATGAAGGAAGACTGCCTTTTCTAGATGTCCTAGTCATCCGCAAACCAGATCAACAATTGGGTCACACCGTCTACAGAAAACCCACACACACAGATAGATATCTACATAAAGACTCCAAACATCACCCAAGTCAAAAAAGAAGCCCCATTAAAGCCTTGGCAGACCGTGCAAAAAGAATCTGCGAAGCCCACCTCCTCCAAGATGAACTGAACCACCTCAACTGGGCTCTCCAGGCCAATGGAGACTCCACCTCAGACATCAGAAGAGCTGCAAGACAACCGAGAAGAAGCCACGAGAGTCAAGATGAAGATCCACCCAGAGGGAAAGTGTTCTTGCCAGACATCAAGGGAACCACTGACCGCAGAGGGAAGCTGATGAGGAAACACAACATACAAACTATCTACAGACCCACCAAGAAAATCCAACAAATGCTCCGTTCAGCAAAGGACAAGAGGGATCCTCTCGCTTCTGCAGGAGTCTACCGTGTACCATGCAGCTGTGGACAAGTCTACAGAGGGACCACCAAACGCAGCAGCATTGCCCAGACACGCATCAAGGAACATGAAAAGCACTGCAGACTAGTTCAACCAGAGAAGTCAGCCATAGCAGAGCACATGAGGAACCAACCTGGACACAGCATATTATTTGAGAACACAGAAAAGCTGGACCACTCCAACAACCACCATGTCAGACTACACAGAGAAGCCAGTGAAATCCACAAGCATGTGGACAATTTCAACAGAAAGGAGGAAACCATGAAAATGAACACAATCTGGCTACCAGTATTAAAAAACTCTAAAATTGCAACAGCAAAACAGCAGAGAGGAAGCAGGCAGGGATATCTAATTACCTCTCAACAAAAGTTTCAACAAAAGTTTGCTCCAGGCACAGTCAGCCCATTGTATGCTAATCAAGGTGGTCAGTTGAAACATTCACAGCTAGCCCCAGCAGACAAGACTCCTTTGTCTCACCCTGGTCATCCCACAGATATATAAACCCATTTTCCCAGTTTCAACAGACCTCACTACTCTGAGGATGCTTGCCATAGATGCAGGCGAAACGTCAGGAGAGAATGTCTCTAGACCATGGCCATATAGCCCAAAAAAACCTACAACAACCCAAAGTTAGGCCCCTAGATTGATGAATGTAAGCTATGCTGCTCCTAGAAATACACAGGCATGCCTTTTGCATGTTGGAAAATAGAACTTGATATTTCTGTGATGCTAAGGTGACGTAGTGAATGAGGTCAATGTATGTAGACGCATGTTCTTTGTTTGCTTGCATTTGAAGGCTATAAAAGGCATAGTCAGCGCCTATATCGGGGCTCTGGATGCTTTTGGACATAGGCCACTCCAGGGTCCCAGCTGGAAATAAAATCTGTGCTTTTGAGACCGCCGGACCTCTCTTTGTTTGTGCTGGTATGGCTGTATCAGGAGCTCCAACTTTATTTTCTTTCTGTTATCTGTTTGCAGTCATAGGGCAGGCCTCCTGTCCATCATAATTAAGCTTTGGTTCCGCCCCTTGTTCAGGGATCTTAGAATGAAAGGAGCCATTTTTTTGGGCAGTCTCTCATAAGGAAGCTAAACTATAGGACATAGACCAGCTCGTCCAGTAGAAAAGCTTCTTTTCTCAAGAATATCCGGGGAAACAGAAACAGAAATTCCAGGGAAAAGGTCCCAAGGCTCTGGCTGAGAGGCATAGATAGCAATCAGAGGGGAAACAGCTCTGAAGTTTCAAAGAATTCTCTGAGGGAGGACAGCATTACAGATCCACGGAACTCCAGCTGAAATACCTTCAACCCTCGGCTGGTAGGTCTACTCGATACCCAGATGCATTTGGAGTCGGTAGTAGGACCCACACCGATGAGGCATAGATAGTAAACAGCCTGGGAGAGGTTAAAAAGGGTTTTTCCTACAGAGAACGTTCAGTTAATCAAAATCAGGTACCAGCCCACTGAGGACTAGACTAAGAAAGCCTTGAAGTGTTGTTTGAACCATTGAAGATTTGTTGTTTGTTCCATAATAAAGACTTTGTTGTATCATCAAAGACTCTAAAGACCATCACTTCAGAAAAAATCCCTGAGAATCTGAGAAACATTGTCTCTTTTCCTCAAACCTTCTCCCTGCCATTTCAGAAGCAGGATTGCAAACATTAGGTAAAAGAATGGAAATTGTGTGGGAGGCACAAAGCGCACCAAAGGACATCGGGAAGTCCCTTTCTCCTTGATATGTATATTGAACACATCCCAGGACAGTTCTATGCACTAAAATTGGGAGATAAAGAAATCAGTAAAGCAAAGTCTTAAAACTGCACTTTGGGGAGGAAGAAGACTCAGCAGAACTAAAAAAAAGATGCCTTAAAACTTGCAATAAAATTTTCTTGAGGAGCGTAGACACTTCTTTATAAAAGCTGTCTGTTGGGGCTCAGCAGCAAGACTCAGAGGATCAT